GAAATGTGTGGATCACCACTACAAAGAAGTACTCTCTTGGACGCTCTTCCTCCTGAGCTTTGCCTTAAATTATTTTTATTACATTGTTATTTAATATAAAACAAGGTATGTCCTCCCTGTGCTTAACTCTTATAAAACTATAAGGTGAAGCAATTTAAAAATCTGGTAAAAACCAATAAAAGATAACAACATTAATTTAACACGACAGATGATGGTGATGCAATTTTACAGACACGCTTAGCTGCTCACAATGTATTAAATACACCACCACCTCGGAGCAGGTTCCTTGAAATCCTGCTGCCTACACCACCATGGGCTCCGTGACCCCCTCAGCCAGCCATCACTCTTCTCTAAAAACTGCCACGAAACCTTTGTTCATCTAGCCATCATCCGACCCAAACACTTTATTTCTGCATTAAGTCCACATCTGTTCTCCCCACCTTCTCTACAGTCAAAGCAGTGCTCCATCAAACACAGGCACTAAAACCTTACAGTACTCCTCATTTGTAAAGTCATCTAGGTATTACAGAATTTATGATTTTTATTATTGTTTAAAAGAACATTAAAAACTTAATTCTGGTTTTAAAAAATAACTTACAAACTCGCAGAAAAAAAAGTCTTCAACCTTCAGTTTAAGAAAAAATGTTTTATGATAAAGTGGGCACTACTCACACCTGAGGAAACCAAAGCTTGGAGAAAGCATCCAAACAATGGAGCTGCATGTGAACTGGTTCCATCACTCCGCTCTCTGCTCCTCATGACAGGCCCTAAGAGCCTCGGCAGAAGAGCACCAGCAATGGACAGAAGGAATCCAGGGTAAAGCAGCCAGGTGGGACAGAGACACAGAGACAGGAATTTAGAAGAAAAAAATGACAGGACTTAGTGACAAGATGAATGGAGAGAAGTCCATGAACCTGTGAAACAGGAAGAATGGCAGTCCCATCCTTCAGAAATGAAACTGGTGGGAAAAGAAGCCAGGTCAGGAGACAAGGCATGGTGGGTTTAAGACAAAAGGGACTACTCCGAGTGGGAATAGATATGCTCTTAACAGATCACAGCTGGAGATGCTGAAGTCACACTCAGAAAAATTATTTCAAAATATAAGTAGATCAAAAGTGTCCAGCACAGAAGAGACAGAGAACAAAGACTGGCAAGACAAGACCACGGAATTCTGACTTTGTGTCATTATTAATTTCATTAGATTAGGCTGAAGGAAGTACAGAGGGGGAGGCAAGTATCTTATAGAGGGAGACAAAACAATGTCACCTCTAGATGACCTTTACTTCTTACAATCTGTAAGTAGAAATCAGACTGTAAGAAGGGGAACTACTATGGCTACGAAACCGGGGCAGTCTACTACCCATGACACCACGAAAGGATTCAGTCATGCAACAAGCATCTGAGTAGCCACTATGTACCAGGTATGGTCCTAGGTCCAGCCACAAACAAAACATCCCTGCCCTCATGGAGCTTATGTTCTAGCTGGGGAGACAAAGACAAAGCAAGCAAGTATGTAGTCTGGAGTTAGGTAGTGATAAGTGTTCTAAGGGCTGGGAAAAAGTAAAGCAGGATGTGAGAAAGGGTGATGGGAAGGGGCAGGTGTTTGAAATAACGTCATAGGGCAACCATGGGAAGAACTCTAACTGAACTCTAAAAGGAGGTGATGAGATGAACCAGTTTTTATGTGATAAAGGCTGGAAAGCATTCACTCGAAATATCTGCTGCCTCTTAGACTAGGCATATGTATTGGTGCTAGAGAGATGACAGTAAAACACACGTATTTAAAGGTATTCGAGAATCAGTGCACACTGAGGGGAGAAGTGACGACGTCAAACACATGAAGTACAGAGGGGGAGGCAAGGATCTTGTAGAGAAAGACAAAACGTCACCACTAGATGATCTTTACTTCTGAAGCTACTTCCAACTTGAATATTTTCTGAACTTATCAGAAAAGCACAGATGCTGGAGGGGTGATATGCTTAAGGGAAGGGAAAGAAGCAGAGGAGGAAGATTTGTATCAGACTCAGAAATATTCATTCAACAGTTGTTTATTAAGCAGCACCTACTGAGTGGATGGGCTCTGTACTCACAAGGATAAGCAAAAAACAAGGGTACCTCGAGGGGGTTTAAGTCTGACTGTCTCTGTTAATACACATCCCAAAGGGACCGAGCTGGGGGAGGTGGAGAGAAGTAGGTGAATGGGAAAGGGATGGCGAGACTCATCCAACTGGGGCCAGGCCAAAGATGAGTGTTCTCAACCTTCCCTACAGAAGAGCAGCACTGAGAAGCTATCACGAGGTGGAGCCACTGCTGAAGATGGTTGGTGCAGGTTCAGGGAAAGGTTACCTTAGATAAGTAACCATCAAGTTTGATAACTGTGGTGCCTGCTCCACCCCACAGTTACCACATCTATACTAGAGTCATATGTCTCCCCACAAAGCTGTGAACAGTCTGTAGGAATCGTACCCTCTTTCATCTCTGTGTTCCCAGCAACTAGTAGATAATGAAGGGTCAATAAATGTTTGACTGAGGCCCAGTTTTAGTGACATGAGTAAAACAGGAGGGGCTAAATAACAGGGTTTGATGAGTGTGAGCCAGATTCCCGCTAGGCTGGACAAAGCTGTTATAATCAGTTGATGGACACATGTACAGGAAGATGACCAGTGACTCTGTATCTAACCAGCTGGGTATACCTAAAAAGTCACTTCAATTCTGAGTCTCAATTCTAAGGGGGTTGGAACAAATCAGATGTTGCAGACCTTTGGGTGGAGAAGAGATGCTTTTCTTTAAACTGAAGCCTGAAGAGTGTGTGTATCTTTGCTGTTGAGGTAGGGGGGTACAGGATTCCTCTTTGGCTGTGCTTCCAAACAAATCAGAGAGAACATACAGCCAGTACGGCCACCACAAGGACCTTGGAGGTTTGTCAGCAAGAGAGGCCCACTGGTGATGTGGCAGGTAAGGAGGCAGAGGTTCGGTGAGGGGGCAGGGACAGCAGTGAGCAGTACTAATGAGTCATCCAGATCCCAGAGATGAAAGATCAGATGGCCCAAGGAAAGACTTGAACTGTGAATGAAATATGTGTTTTCAAGGTGGTTGTTCACATCTGGCTTGTACACACCCAGGCACCCAGACATACAATAAGTCAAGGAAAAATAGATTTTACACCACCTAAAAACTATAAAGCTACTTTAAGAGCTGTAAGAGAGATAATTACCCATAAGCAAGACCACCTTTAGCCTTTGAAAAGTGTGTTTATTTACTCTCTTTACAGAGTGCTATCAGACTGTATTTTGAGCTTCTCAGAAGTTTCCATTTAGGATCAGTAGAAATACCTGACATTTCCAAAACCCATAATTCCCATACCAAGCTGAAATCCCCAACATTACAGGAAAACCCACAACCTTTGCAGAAGGGAGTGAAAAGCCAATCTAGTCAAAGGAAATTTTCCAGTTCTACAAAAGAAAACAAACAAACAAAAACACCACAAAGAACACTAAAACATTTCTAGTTGAACAAATTTAAGAAAGCTAAAGGTCAGACAGAACCATGTGTTTGAAAGAGCCTGCAAAATAATAAATGCCTGAGGGAACTGGATGGCTCTTCTGCTTCTAAGCTAAATAAAGCTTGGGGGGCTTTGCAAAGATCCTAGTGAGGATAATCCCTGTGATTACACAGAGCAAACCATCCAATCAGTTCTATTCAAACCAAGGAAAATTAATCCAAGAAGAATAACAACACTTGAAATATTGAGAAAAACACACAGTTCTGCTTCTTACAACACTCCGTCAGCACTGGAGACCATATCAGGTCATTCTAACAAGCCAGAACATTTAACTAGTGAGTGTTTCTGTGACAGTGTCTTGGCGTTTTGTTAACTAAAGGACAAGCAAGTTACCTGCGAGCCAACGCTCAGGCCTTCTGGTCCTCTCCCTATTTCCTGCACACCTTTGAATTATTGCACACCGACTTCCTGCACATCCCTGGATTTGGGAGACCTTCCTCCTGAAGGGTTTACTCCAGCTAAGTTACTGAGGCAAGTTCTAAGGTTAAAAGTTTGCAGTCTCCATACTCCATTAAAGCACAATCAGGGCACGTGTTCCTTGACAAGTTCAGCCACAGCATACTCATTAATTGACGTAAACTCTGAAAAAGTAACGCATCACTGCTAGGGCAGAAGTCAGCCGGCTGGATGCGGCTGCTGCGGGCGAGGCGGCTGCAGGGCTGGCCCGCGCGGCGGAGCCTCAGCGGACGCTCCCCACCGTCGCTTCCACACCCCAGGTCCACGCGGGCAGGTCCAAGAGGCGAGCGCCTGGGCACCTGCCGTAGCCCCCCGGGCGCAGCTCTCCTCCTGCCCCCTACCCCCACCCTTAAACCTCGAGGCCCTTCCTGGGGCTAAGGGAGGCCGGCCAAGCTACGGCTCTTCCAAGCACCGTACACCGCGATAAGGCCCGAGCACATTCCTCGCAAGATGCCGAGATAGAGAGGCTCTCTTGCGCCCCACCTTCTCCAGGACGTGCCCTGGCCGAAGGGGAAGCTCTCCCCGGCCAGTGGTAGGGAACCGCGGGGCGAGGGGACCGGCCCCGGGAGCGGGATTCCGGGCGAGCCCGGTTCTTCCAGCAGCGAACAGCCCGAGCCGCCTGGCTCACCAGCCCAGGAGAAAGTGCCCGGCGTTAGTGCCTAGACGTGTATCTAAACTACTCCTCGGAATGTTTGCCCAAATCGCACAAGCTCTAGGGACTCACTGGAAAACATCAAGTCACTTAGTGTAAAATGAAAAGAAACTTTTACGGGGGTTGGGGGAGGGGTGAAAGGAGAAAGGAGCAGGTGAATGCAGGCAGGTAGAGGTGGTTCCAGCCGGACCTGTCGGCCGGATCTGGAGGTGGAAAGGGGGACATGTGGAGAGCAGAGGGGACCAGGGGAGAAGGGAGAAGCGGAGGCGAGGGCTGGCCGGGCTCGGCCGCGCTCCCCAGGGCGGCGCTCAGGTGAGGCCGGGCACTCACCGCGGGCAGCTCGCGGAGCTGGTTGGCGTCCAGCAACAGCTCCTCCAGGCTGCCGGCGTAGCGGTAGATCTCCTCCGGGACGCAGACCAGCGAGCAGTGGCGCTTGTCGATGGTCTCCACATGACGGTTGCACCGCCACAGGGGGATGCAGTGGAACATCGCCGCCCCCGCCGCCGGGTCCCCAGCCGCGGAGACCCGGGCTCTGAGCCCGCTCCGCCCGGTGCCCACTCCGCGCTCGTTGGCTCCCGTGCACTCTCGCTCCTCGCGCGGACCTTCGCGGCCCGAAACGCTCCCAGGAACCTCGGGCGGGAGCCGCAGTCTAGTCCCAGCGCCCCCGCCCGCCAGCCGGTGCGTCCCCTCCCAC